TCTAATACAAAAAAACACCACTTGAGAGGGTTGTTGTTGATTCATCTGGTTCTCTAACACATAAAAAACACCACTTGAGAGGGTTGTTGTTGATTCATCTGGTTTTCTAACACAAAAGCGCAGTGGGAATAAATACACCATAATGATGGATGGTGAAACGATTCTTAACCAGGAAGCAGAAACTCCAACACTGAAGCTTGTCATTGAATTGGTTTCAAGGTTTGGGGTGCTTATGGAACTTATCCTGAATCCCTTGTTTACATGTATGTTTCATTCCTCTAAAAGAATGTGGGTTCACTATCATCCACTCCTACTTATGAGTTATTGCACAATCATACATGAAACTACAAGCAACATAGCAACATCACTGATGTTGTGAAAGAAACTTAAAGTGTCATTGAACATCCTGTTCTCACATCCTGATGACTATCATTCAGCAGTCTTGTATCAAATATGCAGTCAGATTAAGCACACCACTGATGCCAGGCTATAAATCCTTTACCTAAGAAAGACTTAATCGGCAATGATAAGATGAAAAGTAGCTACATTGCTGATAAGACTAGATTCCATCATGGTGACATGGTATGGCTATACAACCCATGCCACATGAGAGGAGGATCTGCAAAGTTAAGATATTGGAAAGAACCTCACATTGTAGTAAAAAAATAATACTTAACGATGTTAACTATAGAATTATGAAGGGCTAGTTGTCTAAGTCAACAGGCCATCAACCATCTTTGGAAGTACGCCAACGAGAGAACAGCTAACTAATGAACAAGTTGACTTCGCAAGATATAAATAAACAGCCCAAGATTACTGTTGAAACCATTTCCAAACTATCACAGGGATGAAACTAATATTAGATTCCCAGAACTGTCTACCTGAAGATAACTCCCTCAGTGACAAGACAGCAAGTGTTGCTATAGAACAAGAAATCATCCCATCTTCGTATCATGAGCCACGAGAAAGAAAACCACCAAAAAGAATGTACAACATGTCAGTAACACACTATATCTGATATATCCACTACCGACGAGACTTTTCCCCCAATACCAGGGCTCATCAGGCTGGCTGGGATACGACAGACACAACAGTGTAGCTACTTACATTATCAAATCGCATGAACAACAACTGTTATGGTGTGAACTAAATTAACTTCGTGAAATGTTGTGTTTTTATCAATTTTATACAAGTCATTCACAAAGCATAATCAGAATAAGAATCAATAACGAAATATTATTTATTTATTTTAACACCAATTATTTATTATTACTTATTTTAACACCAATTATTTATTATTACTTATTTAACACCAATTATTCCTGTTGTACCCAATGTTGATTATAACAATGTGTCAAACACACTACATCTGTTGTACCTGGTGTTGATTATAACAATGTGTCAAACACACTACATCTGTTGTACCCAGTGTTGATTATAACAATGTGTCAAACACACTACATCTCTTGTACCCAGTATTGATTATAACAATGTGTCAAACACACTACATCTGTTGTACTCAGTGTTAATTATAACAATGTGTCAAACACATTGTGTTTGACACATTGTTCTAATCAACACTGGGTACAACAGATGTAACTACATCTGTTGTACCCAGTGTTGATTATAACAATGTGTCAAACACACTACATCTGTTGTACCCAGTGTTGATTATAACAATGTGTCAAACACACTACATCTCTTGTACCCAGTGTTGATGATATTGAAGGAGTATAATATGTAAATTACTAAAGTTTGCTGATGGTCTTAAACTCTTGGGTACTCATAAAATGTTGAGGTATTACAGATTGACTTGGGTCAATTGATAAGTTGGGCAAATGACTTTTTATTATAGTAAGAGTATGGTAATGCACTTAGGTTGTCATAATTTGGATTACACATATAATATAGATAGAAATCAACTCAATGGCGTGAGTGAGAAAAAAATCTTGGCATGGATAAGTCACTGGAGCCATCAAAGCAGTGCTCTGTTACCAGGAATAAGACGATATAATTTGAGGGTATATCTATAAATATACTGATTACAAGTCACAAGAGGTAATTATCTCTCTATACAAATCATTAGTTAAGACTGAACCTGGAATGCTGTGTAGAGTTTTGGCTTCCTTATCCAAAAATGGATATTGACTTGTTGGAAAGGGTTCAGAGGAGGGCTACTAAGATGATTTCACGAAAGGTTGTCTTATAGCAATAGGTTAATATCTTAACTATTTGCTCTTGAGAAAAATAAAGTAAAAGGGGAGATTTCTATAAACGTAAAATCACGACCTATATCTCCACAATGTAACTCTATTAGCTCATTATTTCGCTATCACGAGTTCATCAGGAGCTATCGATATCCTACAAGCGAAATATTGAACTAATAAAGTTACATTTTGGAGATATAGGTCGTGAATTTATTTACGTTTATATATGTGTCTCATAATAAACTCCGGTTTACGTTAAATAAAGTTAAGAATAATAACAGGTGATATTATTGATTATTATAGGGACCATTACGATGAATGCCTCTGTCCTCTTTATGCTATATTTTGAAGATAATACGACGAGAGAGCATAAGTTTAAAATTTGGAAAAACGGGCTAGACTCCATTGAAAAGTTTTATTTTTTCTAACTCGATTTAAGAATGTTTTGCCTTTGGTGTAGGCCACCACCTTACAGGAGTTTTAAAGGAAATAGCTGATTTCTTGGATGAGTTTAAATTTCAAGGGTGATAGTGCAAGGACAGTCTTCAAGGACCAAACGGTCCTTTTTCCGCCGTAGATAATGCTACGCTACACATTACGTTTTCAGGATGAAATTTGTTTAGATATATGTGTCATACTCAAAATGCATAATACAAGATCTTTATGCTAAACAAGCTCCATGTTTGAGAAGCCCAAATCTCTTTAACTGGTTACTTGGAAATTCTGATATGATTAACGCTTTTTTTAAGTCCAAGAAACAGCCTATACTGCCTTACTGGAATACTTTTCGAAAATAATGCTGGACGTTTACATATTTACGGAAAGTGTCTCGAGGACTATTGAATCATGAAATAATACATAAACGTGTAATTCACAATTTGAATGTACACCAAACTCATTTAAAGAAAGAAAAAAGGGTCAGCAGAGAAGCCTGACCTAACTAATATCCGTTATGTCTTCAATTTCCTGTTGTTCTTCCCATACTTTCAGCTACACGTTTCACGAGATACTCGTAAATTGCGTCACTAACGTGCATTTACACAGGAAATTCAATTCTACTTGGCACAGCTCTTTCATGTGGTATTTAATATTTTTCTATTGTTCTAGCATCCATCAAAACTAGCATTCTATTTTTATAATATATGAATCTACTCTGCAATCCATAACGCCTATTTATGAATAATTTATAAAACCACTTGTAAACACAGAATATTTCGTAACTTTCGATGAGACTTCGGTTTCCTGTTATTTTGCCGGTGCATTTATAACAATAAATAAATAATTAAATGAAAATGGTCACTTATATTAACAACAGGAAGAACCCACTTCTGTATAAATACCTTGTTACAGCGGCTAACCCCTCGTTTAATCACATTTATATTATTATTATTATTATAATATTAAGCTTTTTGATATAAAGTCCTTTACTCATCACTAATAACTTAAAACACTAGGTATTGACTATCCTGTCATTCATGGATTATTCCTTTTCTTTACCGAAATTACACATTTTCGCAAGGAATGGAAACAAAAATGACAGTTATATTTAACTTAATATAATTAAACTTTGTTGCTTTTTAATGTTCTTGTTCACTTTGTATAAACTTCATAATAATGTTGATATTAGTAATACTAATAGTGTATTACTAAGTCGTCATAAAATGTAAAAACATTTTTGTAGTGTAAAACGTAATTACTTGTTAACGTAATTAGTTTGTCAATAATATCGAAACACTGCTAATTACGATTTTTATTAATAATAAATTAATATATTTCAATAACCAAAGTTTAATCTCAAACTTTAAATATTTTCCTGGAAAATATACTGTTCTAAAATAATAATATACTATTAGTTTCATGTAATAAAATGAAATATAGAAACAAATGTAAATTCTTAAATCAACAGCTATTTTTTCTACATTCACAGATTCTGATTTACGTATCTTACCAAGGAGTAAAAGTTTTACTTCTTTAGCCTGTCTTTCTTCTTCAAGACGCAAGTCTTTGTCGATTTTTCTCGATCTTTGGGCAGCTTCTTTATCAGCAGCAGAACTTACGGCACACCCCATCACTAGCACTAAAACTGAAGGATATATTCTGACTGACACAACAATCACAGAGACCGAAGTTGCTGTTCGTAATTCTCGCGGCAAGGGCAGGCGTTTCCCTCTCTAACTTCCTTAAGTCTTAATCAACAAGTGTCCCACCTCAGATCTTCGAATGTAACTTTATTAATGAATAATCAACGTATTTATAAAATGTCCAAAAACCCACTTATAAACACATGAAACTACCATGCAGCAACATTCTAAAAAAACTATCTTTAAAAAATGTCAAAATCTTAACCAACCTTTCACCGTTAACAATAAACGAGTTTGAACTTTTACCGGGAGCAACCACTATACGCTGATCCAGCGTTGGCAAAATCAAAGCGTCCTCTACCGACGGTATTTATGACTTGTCCAACTTACAAAAGTTTCAGCACTTATAGAAAGTTACAAAATACTTGTTTGTTTGTTGTTGTTTTTGCATATATACATTTTCCTTTAGCATTGTGATATATTTTCTACTAAAACGTTTGGTCGAACATAAGAGATGGATAAGGATAAACTGTAAAGAAGCGAAAATATTTCGTTTTTAAGAGTATCGAACCTATAAAAAGCCAGTGTGTGTCACGTCACCTCAAGCTTGATTTCTCGAAAAAGGAGCAGTCATAAAAGCCAAAATGCATTTATCCACGATTAGTTCGATTACTGTCTGCCCACTACGGTTTTAGTGATGGGGTTACAAGGGGAGCTGTGAGCGGGAAGGGTGTCGTAAAACCTTGTAAGTGTAGTGAATGTTGGTATGGTAAGCCTAAAGTAAAGCCCTAGTGTGGGATCACTTAGCCTAGATAGAGCCAAGTTTATAAAATTTATCATCAAAATAAGAATATCGATTCAATTTTCAAGTTTCTGAATTAAGCTATTTTCTGTTATATCACCAATGTTTTTAATATAAAAAAACCACTTTAATCAATGGAGACTCTAAATTACGAAATCAACAAATATTTTTTCAGTTTTATTGTCTATATATTTCATTTTATACTTTCAGTACATAGACAATCAACAATATTAGGTTATACATTTGTTGCTAAGCGTCATGACATAAAAGCCATTATAGGAACGTTGTGTTACCAAAACGCACTGGATTTTCTATATATTAGATGTTGTTAATCTAACTGATTTTTACCAATAACTATTCTATGAATACGTCACGAATTTATTTCATGAATGATTTTAATTTTGATTGGCTCACATAGGGATTTGATTGTCTCGACAGTTAGCTATGAAATGTGAGGTTAGGGTATACTATGGAGTGGGTGTTGGGTGGTAGTACTTGCCCCGTCATTTTTGACGGACTGTACGCTAGTTGTATATATAAGGTTGATTTGGATTTCCCATATAACTTAAATTAACGTGCACAGGATTAATACTTAAGACTTGCAAAACACTAATATATGAAAGTTAAGTTCATGTAAAGAGCTTTATACACATAGAGCCGCCGCCCCCAGTGGCACAGCGGTATGTCTGAGGACTTACAACGCTAGAAACCGGGTTTCGATACCGGGGTGGGCAGAGCATAGATAGCCCATTGTGTAGCTTTCTGCTTAACTTCAAACAAACAGATGGGACCGGGCGTGGTCTGATGTTTAGG